GTTGTTACACGTGCTTTATTTATACGCAAACCCTGGGGTTCCACCGCACGTCACAAACAACTTTAATTTCCTCTGGCAAGCCAAACCATCCTTGTACCGACAAAATCTCATCATTCAAACCGGTGCATACTTGCATGGTGGCCAACTTTCTAAGGAGTCTACTCACATGAAACGTATATTCATTGCGAGTCCTTCTCCAGGTTATACGATGGGCGTGCGTTTCTAAGCTACTTAAATAACACATGAAATATACATATTTATTTCAATCATGAAATAGTCAGCTTCTCGCTCTTGTTTGCCTCTGGAAACGTTTTTTGAGAATAGGAATACAACACGAGGGTACGCATATCATGAGACTGTGTTTTCCCTGTACTTCAATATCCGGCATCAATAATATCGGACCATGTCAGTCAGCAGTCATAAGTCTCTTCAAATCAGTAGAAATCTCGATAATCTTCCTTTGAATGCCCATAAAATCCGGCAAATGCAGCACGACGTCTTGGATTGATCCATCATACTGAATTGAATTTTGTTAAACCTTTTGTGTTTCCCTTCATTCATCTTTCCTCACCATCGAGGAAATTGGATATTTGTCATGTTCAATCAAATCGCTCAAACCAATAGATCCCAACTTGATATATTATTAGAGGAGAAACAAGCAGACAATTTTAAAACAACCGATTGAAGAACTCAACTCGAATGAAACATGGCTTTCTGAATAACCGGGTTATTCCAGAATCTGAGCAACGCTATAGGACGAAGATCGCTGGAGGAGGTAACGAGAAACCGTCATGAATCGGTGCGGTACGGTGAAAGCTTATTCGTATGTACTCGCGGCAAAAGAACTTAGGACTCTCACTCAATAATACCTTACTTGACCCGCATCAGCACAGATTGTAGCCAAGCATGAACTTGAATTTGAGTTTGGCATTTTCTTCCGTGCAAATTTTGATTTCTATCTTGATTGCTGTAGTGTAAAAGAACGCAATTTCTGTCTACTATTGAAAGGATTGAATATCTCTGACAGAAAGTGGTGCAATAACGTGAAGTAGAAGAAAAGTACTACAAAGCCGGTTCAGTGTTGCAACTCTGCTACGGGACTACAACGCGATGCACCAGATTCTCAAGCTGCTGCTGTACAGAGTTTTGGCAAACCTAGAAAATTGGACATGACAGATTCCTCAGACAAACAACCACGGAAAATTCCTCTTGCATGTCATAAGTATTCGCTGTATTGAAACCGTAGAAATCTGTCAGATCTGGCAAAACTAAGAAAAATTAATTTCAGGCACCGCACTTAAACAGAATTCGAAAATGATTCGTTGTTATACGAGATACCTCAAGCGATCAGTTCAACTGATGGAACACAACTATTTATTTCCAACATTTGGACTGCCACTGTGTACATTCTTTTGCTCCATTCACATAGTGCTCCATTCCAATGCTAAATGCGGTCCCTATGTACTTTGGCAGCTTCCCACATCAAGGAGGCTGCGGCAGGAAAGGCTTACTCATGTTCCTCACCTATCAAGGCGGATTAGACCTTGAAACTGCGGTAAAACAGACAGTTATCTTGGTCATAAATGGAACATAGTAGCTTGGCGAAAAGATTCTTGCAGATTCTGAACGTTCATCGCTCCCGAGGCACGGTGGCTACAAGTAATCGCTTCAGGCGTCTCCTATGCAGAACAAAGGCACTTCGTTAATCCCAGCGTCGCTTCATTATCCGATACCTAAACAAGGGTCAGAGAGAGACTGAGTTACTGGGCACGAAACTGCCTCGTTTCTCGCGCGCTGATTCAGAAGTATTCTTCCTTTGAGGCCCGCCAATAGTTTTATTCTTTTGGTGCTGTATAGACAGTCCTGGTACATAAACGTTTTGCTATCATGTGTAAGCCTAGCGGTCGAAATGTAATGGTATAACTTCGCGCTGATTGTGGAAGTGCACTTAAATCAATAATTTTCTTTTAATACCACCTTCTGGTGGTACTGATTTATTTACTGTGCAAAGACAACCAGCATGCGACCAGCCAAATCAGGATTCGAACCTTCGAAGCTGCGGTCATGAGTCAGACGCTGTGTCGACCGAGCTATCCTATCGGCGAGAGCAGCACTGCTGTCTGTCTGTATCAACGAAAAAACTGGTGAAGGTGACGGTGAAGATATCGCTAATGGCGCTCAACTCTGAATGCGAATTGTTTTGCCGCGCGTCGCCTGGTCCGTTTTCCTCATCTCTTGTCGTCTGGTCCGTTTTCCATATCGCTCGTCATCTGGTCCGTTTTCCTCATCTCCGTCGTCTTGTCCGTTTTCCTCATGTCTCGTTGTCTGGTCTGTTTTCCTCATTTCTCGTCGTCTGGTCCGTTTTCCTCATGTCTGGTCGTCGTTGTTCGGCGACCAACAGAAGACCGATGCCGACGGCTTTGGTGGACGGACGGGTCTGGCGCGCCCGACAAATGCTTCGATAAAATTTGAGTGATTTGTCGGCTGAATGTGCTCATAACGACGTCGTAAAAATATCGATCATGCGCCACTCTGGTTCCTTTTTGCCATTGTGCGAGTACAATGAAAGCCGATCGCGCGCACATAAACTCAAGAAAATAGCCGAAAAGATGCACCAGCGTTGGAAAAAGCTTATTTTTGCACCAGCCGCCGGCCGATCATCGAATAGATCACTCTCCTTCCAGGAGCCGGTCGTCTTTCTGGCGAGGACGAGCAACGGACGAGGCATCCTCGCGTCCCTCGTCGTCGCGAAGCTGGTAGCCACGAGCGGCCGCAGTGGCTCTGCTGCATACTAACGGTTCGCCTCGTCTGGTCGTCTCAGCCTGGACCTACACTGACCTCGATCCCTTATGATTAGCAAAATAATACCTGAGCATCAGATCTACCGTAACACTTAGCCGACTGTCGGCCACTGAGGGGCAGTGGCGGTATGGCGGGCGGACAGGGCTTAT